CCGTTATTAACTGTCCATCTCATAGCTTCAGGTTCATCAATTTTCTAATAATAAAAGCTTTATTTTGAGCAATTTTTCTCTTGTACATATACTCCAATTTCTTCCACAAATCCTGTGCATTAACTTCTTTGGTTATGTGGTGGTAGGTAATGATGTCCACCCACTGTCAAATAGTTCCAATAATTTTTCTGTGCATTTTCTTCCAATCATCATCTTATCTCCCAAATTGCTTAATAGATCATAATTTAATAGAATCATAGAAATCTTTACAATAAAAAATATTTTTCATCTTCAACTTCTAAATTGAGTAATTTAAAACTATAAATTTAATGATTATACCTACGAGTTCTTCCATTCTAATTCACACAATTAATTTCGAACTATAGATCAACCTGACTCTGATATCATTTATTTGGTCCAAATTAAGGAATATAATTAATTATGTAAATTAAAAAAATCACTAAATAAAATAATAATAATGATAAGTAAAGAAATAACCTCAAAGGAAAATAAATACATGATTTTGGGTGTAAAACCCTCCATATACAAAAAAACCATGGGTTAAACCTCGAATCAAATTCCCTATATCTACAAATAAGTACAAGATAATCCATCAAGAATAAAGTAAAAGATATAAAAAAAAATAACCCATCCCCCTTCTTGTGCATGTGGGAGAGAATGAATCAAATAAAAAAATGGGTTTTAATTTGGTGGACTTAAAAAATAAAAAGGCCCCTTATTTCCTTGTTTCCTAATAGCCAAAAGTTTTATGTATATGTATGTGTTTATATATACATATATATATATATAAAAATCCAACTCTCTTTCTTTTACTTTCCCTTCTTTTTCTTCTTTTCTCTTCTTTTCTCACAACCAAACTTTCCTTTTTTATTTGTTTTCTTCTCCCTCTTAGTTTGTTTTTTCCTCGTTTTAGGCTCCTCTTTTTATAAGTGAGAGAAGCCTATTACGTTTCACATTTTGTGTTCGAAAAATCTACTTTGAAAACACAATCAAAGATTTAGAAATTTACACTAAAATCTTGTGATATGATCTTCATTCTGTTAAAAATCCTCCTCAATTAGAAAATCCTCCATCACGTGATCTCATCTTCATCATTGTGCTAAAATCCCATAATTTATAGGCTAGAATTAATAGAAGAGAGGTTTCCTAAACAAAAAAAAATCAAAATTGGATTCAATAAATAGTGGTTCATTTCAAGTTTTATAGTGCATCAATGATAATGTTTACAAGATATATTTACCTTGTGAGTATTCTACGCCGACTACTTTTAATGTCTCTCATCTTTTTACTTTTAATATAAGTCTCGATTCAAGGATAAATCTTTTTAAGGAGACGGGTGATGATGGAGATCAAGACATAAAGCACAAGAGATGAACATGGCGTGAATACAACTTTAAGATGCACATGGGCCACATGGGACAAACATCATCATGCCAAGTGAGCCACTCACTAGATGATGGGCCAAGAGACTCAAGTAAGCATTTTAAGCTTATGTTTAAGAAATGGATCAATGGAGAAGGAAGGCTCAAGTCGAAATTGGATAGCCATGAAAAAGGTGGACTGAATTCATTAAGTCACATGGAGAAATAGCCCATTGAGTTGAATTTTCGAACTCAAATTCATGAAGGATAAAGCCCAAAATTTTAATTAAGCAATCATGAGTAATGTGTAATGTGTGAAGTGGTTTTTAAATTGGATTCCTCATAACACATAAAATCATTTTTAATTGTGCCACATGAATTAATTATTCTTTTTTCTATTAAAATTATGAATTGGTTTCCATGTAGGACTCATCCAAATGAATTAATTATTTTCTTTTCTATTGTGATTATGAATTGGTTTCCGTGTAAAGCTCACCTACATATATTAATTATTCATTTTTATATTGTGATTGGGAATTTGTTTCCATGTATGATTTATTATTTCTTTTCCTATTATGGTCAGGGATTGATTTCCATGTATGATTCATTAATCCACATAAATTCATTA